CATCCATGGGCCTAGCATTCAGTGCAGCCTTTGAGTAAGGCTAATGTTTAAGGCACGACGTATTTGAAGTATGTATTACTATAAAAGACATAAGATATTGAGTTTAATTTAGGGTTTGGTACATTACGCAAGTTCCATTTATGAAAATATACGTCAACTGCAAGGAATATAAAATGTATGAATAGTTCGTGATTAAAATCAGTTATAAAGTAACCTGTTTATAACATGAAGTGCATTGTATATGCTTTGTATGCTAACAAGTAGAAATAGTTTTAAAAGTACACAATTTGAGATTGAGATTCTGATACAGTTCATAGAGGGTTATTATTGCATATGTGAATGTGAACTAGAATATACTCATCGATTGTGACTATTTAGAGGAAGGATGTTACGTATCTGTCAGAAACTTTAAAACGTCAAATATCTAAATTATTTCGTGCTCTTCACGAATTATTCACTGTAATCAGTCGAACACTATCATTTCACCCAACATTAATGAAATCGGTATGAGATAGATATGTCAAATATTTCTACCCTACAATTTATGACATGCTAGTTATGTCGACAATTTCACACTGACATGCCATCTGCCAAATGCAACTGACCACTACATCTATCAACGATGATGAATTAATTTGTAGCCCAAATATTTGAGTTAATTGCATCAATTCATCAAAAAATAATTTCATGCAACATCGCTAATTAAGCTTATGATCATTATTGATTGATCACCCGATCGATGATAGATTATACATATTCCAAAGCACGCTTGATGTTTCTATCGATCGTAACTATTTCACCAATACTTGTGATTTCAAATATGAAAAAAACACATAAAGTTTTCTTTTTTTCTGGATACATTAATGGCAGTTTAAATAGTGATCCAAATCTTCTGCATACTTTTGTTTACACGATGTTTTAATTTGTTAAACCCGCCTGGACATATAATTATTAATACGATGGAAATTAAGATAACTGTTAAATCTTTAGATTTAAACTTGTCACCAGGTGTTGACGATTAACATAACGGTTGTACGAACGTTACACTCGCTCTTGAATATTTATCTTTAATCATATTTTAATACGATCGATCGTGTGAATTTAAATTTTGATTAATTTGAAAGTGAAATTATATTCATATTCTAATGGCTTTGTAGTCATGTCGTTGGTGACGCTGGTAGCATGGTTGGGGTATTCTGTGGCAGTTCTAGTAGTCCTTATAAAACCCATGTGGTTAATTTTACGTCTGGCCTGACCAAAACGTAACGGAGTTTAAAAATTCACTTTGACTCAATAGCATTGGATTGATGGCATGTGAAAAGCACGAGTGTTTTCCGCTGATAACATTGCCAGTAGATTAATCCTTTTCTATAATTACATTCTGACGAGGGTATCGTACTGTGAGAGGCAGAAGAGCAAAATTCCTTGCTTCGTTAGCCTTTAAGGTTTTTTCGTCGCCTTGTCATTTCATTTCATTATTTTCTTGGAGGTAAATGCAGTTTTATCCCATTTGGTCATTCTGCACGTGCATGACAAAGTCATGTCAGTTTCAGCACGAGCGGCACCTGTTCGCGCGCGATTGAAATCAAACCTTGTACATTTCTATTACGCGGCATGGGTCTCAATGGCTTTTGGCATTGTCCCCGCCAAAACCTAATTGTCCATTGCAAAGATACAATTATAGATCGGCCATCGCTTTTACGCCGATCGTGTAATTGATATGTTTTGATAGTAACAACGGTTGGTCTTGGAACAGTTGCAATCGGCGTCGGAAGACAAATGTTCCACGTTGGCTAACTGCATGTGTTTACCGTGCTTGTGGTGAATTAACATCTACAACTCGCGATTTAACTCGCGCACATGATGAATGATACTGGTTTAAAGTGAATTGATCAATTAAATGATAGCCCTTCCCTTTCGTAGCTTGACAGCTTAACTCGGTGTACAAAATGTTCATTTGCACTCGTTAGAATTCTAATGTCATCCGAATGAAGCACGGGAAACTGCATTAGAAAGTCGGGATAAATGTTTCATTTTTGGAAATGAAAATCTGCGGGGTTTATAAGGTTAAAAACATTTGATCTCATGGCGAAAAGGTTTTTTTAATTCAAGCGATTGATTTCAGAAATGTGCCTCGAATTCTATTTGTGAAAGAATTCACTGATAGTCGTGGTTTGAGGACACTGAAAAGGTCTGTGTTTAGTCCATTGTGAATTGAATATAGTGAATATTAATAAATATATTACGTACTGCGGAATATATTACACATGGTAAATCCAAAAGCTATTAAATCAATCGTGTATGAATTATATACGGACGAAACGCTTGCGTTATTTTTACCTTAGATAATCTTCATACATTTCCTCAATTCTGATTTTAACTTTGTATTATATTTAAAAACATCACTTATCATCATTCCTTGTTAGAAAATACTTACATTCAGATTGTATTTATATTCATACCAACGGAAAACAACCTGAGAACAGATATTGCAGTGTTAGATATTTTTATGGATATTGCCTTAAGTGAAACTCAAATAACATTAATATGTAGGAATATTAGGCTATTGTCAACGAAATACCGTGCTTTTAAGGATACAATTTCCTCTGAACCTGGGTTTGTTTATTAAGCTGGCCAATCCATCATGCTACGGCTGCATTGTTATTAAATTAACAGTTAGCTTGCCTGTTTATTTGGAAATATCGTGTAACATTAATCTATATAGATGATTAATTTCATTTTGAATGCCACCCCTGCATTTTGTTAAACTCAGTAAGAGCAGAAGCTATGTAATTCTATGACATATTACCGATCTATTACTATTTGGGATTGTATATTACATTAATTGTTATTTTAGGAATCCACACACGACAATAGTGTTTAATATTATCTTACATCTGGAAATCAGTGACAAGGTTTTATTGATCTCATATTAGCAATATCAAATATAACCTAAATATTATTATATATGTTCGCATTATTTCATATTAAACATATATCAATTGGGTCCGGTTTTCCAGACGTTTCTGTATGTTTTTTTATTTTTGAATTCATATTATATATTTGAATATTGTTATGCAAGCCATCGTTTTTCTCTTTTATACCATATCAGATATTGCAATAGATTAGGCATGCCGCTTTAAACAGATTTTACTATCAGATTTACTCTCAAATTAACGCGTACAATTTGGCACGCGTTTCAATCAAACCGTATAAAAATGCAAAACGGGTGTTTTATCGTGACATCGTAATAGCCACGCGAAGCATAATGTTTACAAACAGGGCAGCGTCAATGAAATAAAATTGCCTGATCTAGACGTTAAGAATGACAAATAAGCGCCTTCGCAGGATAAATTTTTAGTACAAAGAAAACCATTCCAGTTCCACGCCAACATAAATTACTAAATTTTATTTAAAAAGAAAATTTAATACTGAGGTGTAATTCAGTACTGGAAGCATGTACAATACAAATATATTTTTAATATAATAAAACCCTGAAATCTTAATGTAAAGAGGACTCCTAGTTTAATTCTCATAAAAATGCTATTTTGTGCATATGAAGATGTTTTTGACTTAATATTCATATGTACGCTTAGTGAATGCGTACATGTGTATTGAACGATATTTGTGTATCAAGCTTGAAATGTTATACGCGGGCATCGTCATTAGGAGACGCTGTAGGACAATATAGGTACAGCTGTGTTTGCATGTCGTATTAGCTCTTAGTTCACACTTTAGTTCAATTTAGTGCTTACAGTATGGTCCATGTAATGGCGTGGTGTTGTCAAACACTTACGTTCAAAGAACTAGAGAACTGGGTAATATTTGCATTACCAACGATATCCTGATATAGCACGGGAGAAGGCTAGAATGTTTTGCTGAGGCCTACATTCCGTTCTGGGATTTACATTGCTATGTTAACATCATTGAATTGAGTTAATACACTTTGAGGCTAGTCTTTGCAGTGTATACGGACAAAAGATGTCATAATATAACTATTTTGTTCATCTCAATATGATTTTTACGATAGCCTGTGTAATTCAATCAACAGTTATGTTGATCTAACTTCAGGAAAAATATTTCTAAATCAATCAGTTTTCATTTCCGGTTTAGTGAATATGAAACCCATATAATACTCATTGTGTGGTTTGAAACTTGTAGAAGCTGTTTTCATTTACACATTGTGATTATTGATACGTTTTCACCGAGCAGTACGGATGTTTGGTCTTAACAGATTCATATCGTCCCGGAAGTAATTGTGTATTGGATTTGTTTTGTTTATTGGAAATACCTCGGGAATAAATGGGTGTGGACATATTATGTTGGGTCGACGTTGACATGAACATGTTTATATCTGACATCGACAAAGGCGCATGCGTTAGAGCTTAGTAAGGAGAAATCTACGCGTGACAGATATTGACAAGGCATCATTGAAACTGACTTGCGAACCCATCCATTACAGTATAACAAAGAGATGTCACATTCGTAACAGTTTCTCGGCGGGTTATGTGTGCCTTCATTAACAGAAAACTAAGAAGTAATTGACAGCCGTGAAGGAATCTTGTCTATTGCAAATTCTCTCATTTCAATTTCGTAATTAACAACCTGTTTCCTTTGGATCCACCACCGCTGTCTGTGACGAGGCGGAAATTTACAAGGCGATAATGACAATAAGATGTACATTTTGAAATATATCATAGCACCTTGGTCATAGACGTGGTGTCGGTTTCACAAGACCAGGCGTTAAAGTGATATAAATATCGCCTTAGCTCTCTTCTGTAGGAAGTCCAAATTGATGAATGAGTAATTAGGAAATTAGCGCTCATTTAGTGTGCCATTATTCAATTAATAACTCATCATAGAAGTGTCACAGTTTGCATGGAGTGTTGTCGCTTTCAGATCGCTTTCCCCCGTCACCAGTGATGTATCTCTCAGTCAGACAGACTGACGTATCATTCATCAAAAGAATTGATTTTTTTCTCGTTCTTTTCGTTTTTCAGCTGGCAAACCTGGAGAGTATGGATACACGGCACCATCTCAACAGCAGCAACAGCAAGGAGGAGCATCGGGCCGTACCAATTTTACAAATAAACAGTTAACGGAGCTGGAGAAAGAGTTTCATTTTAATAAATACCTCACCCGCGCAAGAAGAATTGAGATAGCAGCAGCTTTAGGGCTCAATGAAACACAAGTGAAAATCTGGTTTCAAAACCGGCGAATGAAGCAAAAGAAACGAATGAGGGAGATACAATTCGAGAAAGGCAATGAAAATTCGTGCCAACTTGGACTTGAAGGGCTTTCAGTCCCAACGTTAAGTTTGTGCCATGAGGCGCGTTAAATATTGTGTGTCTAGCTGTTATATCTTTCATCTTTTGATTTCATTTCGTTTGTGTCGAAATGGAATGCCCGTGATGAGTGGAGAAATGCAAATGCTGAAATACGTCAGTGAAACCGGAAGTGACGACATGGACACAATATGGCGTCGAGATAACCGGATGTGGTGTCAAGGGGCATAACTCTTCAACTGTGTCGACACCATCCTTTGAAGTCTACAACATTGTTTTCAAAGGACTTTTTCTTTCGCTTCAATTTCCTTTTACTAGAACTTGCAGCTTCCTTGCCAGAAATATGCCCGTATGGGCAATACAGTACACGAAATGGACAAAAAAAGGCGTAACCATGACAATTCAATAACAAATGAAATATGAGGTCATGACATTACCTTCTAGATATCCTTATCCACTCTTGTAATTGTCGATAGGGGCACATTGATTAGAATTCTAGCTCATCTTTAATTTCACAAGACCTGAGGATTAAAAAACATCCACTGAGAAGTTAAGTTATATTTTGACATCTCTTTTTTTTCAAAATCATGTATAGTCAGGGGACACTGATGACCCAATCCTCTAAGGCACCGCAGAGTTGCTTCCCTTGGGTACGTCAGAAACCTGTCTTGGGTTCGAATCCCTGTTCCAAAGTCGCAAGCGTCTGAGACTTCTAGCTTGACTTTCACTCCAAGCTAGGGGCGGTGTGGTAGCCTAGTGGTTAAAATGTTTGCTCGTCACGATGAAGACCCGGGTTTGATTCCTCACATGGGTACAATGTGTGAAACTCATTTCTGGTGTCCCCCGCCGTGATATTGCTGGAGAATTGCTAAAAGCGGCATAAAACTAAACTCACTCACACTAAGCTGGCAGGCCGTGATATAACTGGAGTACTGTTGAAAGCGGCATCAGACCCTCACTCTCTCACTCATTAAAAGTCAAGTGTGGTGTATGTGAGCGAACGAATTGCCTTATCATTTTGAGTTCGAGTTTCATGAACGGTCAGTCAACCCGAGTGACAAAAGGCCACAAATATCTGTCACGTGACATAAACAAAATGACCACCGATGTGTTTATGCTCCTGTTTATAGAGAGAACAACTTCATGACAACTTTCTGTACTTGTTTCAAAGACGTATGTAGACCATTAGATGATTAATTGTTGATTTTGAAAGAGTTAGTGAAAATATGTCAAACAATGTTGCCATGCACATCTGCACACAATCGAACTGGACAATGATAGTGGACGTTCTCAAATAACAAAATGTAGCCATCAAGTTGAAATAGAGACACGGAGGTTGTTTGTGTTTTCTCAGTCGTACATTTTTAGTTTAAAGATGTCTTTTAAAGTTAACTGTTGCGAGGTTTTCCTTCAGATGTAACCTAGTGTGAATTCCTCATCACCCTGCTGTTTTCAGCTATATATTTTATTGTTACTGAATTGGAAGGTGGGGATCGGTAAACGATAACGAAATCAATAATTTAGAACTATGTTACGGTGTAATAACAACTCCTAAAAGAGCTAGCAGAAAAGACCCTAAGGTCTTCAAAACCCGACTTATATATTCTAGCATTAGCTGAGCAGTGTGGCTATGACCAAAAAAAACCTAAGAGTTACCTACTCCACCACAAGTCTTGATTGTTCTGCCTAAGCTCTTAAAATATATACTTTTTTAAATACAGATTTTTAAATGTAGATTCCTAGTATGCATATGTGGTCTCGCCTTCAGTTTAGTTCATAGAATTATTTAATGTCTGAATCCGAGAATGAAATAGAGAGAACCGAAGGGGTGTCGTTTTTTCAGACTGGAAATCCTAAGCCTGATTGAACACCGGCTAACAATGTAGTGTCTGGTTGTGCATGGCAACGTTGCTTCCAGACTGAATGAATTTCTTGATTTTTGTACAGATGTAATTCTTGTTACAATGTCCACTGCATATTACATTCCACGCCTGTGTATAAAGCTGCATGTGTTTATTTCAATGGTGATCATGTCAATTTCGATTATGGTGCTGTAGGTTTGTGTATAGTGCACTGTTCAATGTCTTCATCATCGTGTATATATCATGTAGGTTCATGTTGATTTCAAAACAGTCTTAAATCTAATATCCTCTCGACCCTTTGTTCCCTTAGATATAGTTATAATTAAATAATTGCAATATTTCAATCTTAATTCATCGCTAACAAATGTTTTGGTTTGTGTATTTTCGGTTAGGCTGATAGTAACATACCTATATCAGAGTTATGTGAAAACATACTTCGTCATCAATGTATATCGTCTCCTTAATGGATCGGTTAACTCTTATTGAGAATTAATATTTATTTCTTAAGAAGTTAGAAGACTGTTTTGAAATTAATACCACCAGGAAGGTATCGGGGTCCAGAACATCACAGTTTCTATTTTAGCGTTCCATTCGTTGCATAATTAAACCACGCACTAGCCAGTGTCATTAAAAAATTAGTGCTCGAACGAGGTCCTCAGGGTGGGTATATAAGACCTGACAGAAAATGATTGCTATCAAAATAACGCTAATAGAGTAAAGGATATAATGTTCCCCACTGCATCAAAAAATAATGTTAATTGAAATTTTTATGTTATCATATTATCTTTAAAAAACAAAAACCTTTCTAATTTTCATGTTTGAGTGTACATTTCCGAGTTTATACTAAACCTGCTCCGAGCACAGTGGCCAAAAGTCATTAAATAGCTGTCGGAACCCGGTATGAATTAACAGACATGTTCGATCTTGATTTCGCAAAAACAAAGAGGACGAAAGGATCCGCGAATTTGATTGGCTGTTTCCATAGCGTGCAGGTGCTAGTGGAGACACAGAGGAGCCAGGCCTGTGCTTTTTCTTGTGAAATTTGCACCTGGGGTTATGAGATTTTGTAATAGATCTATAATATGGAGTCGTGAAATCTACATCAATGCATTTCACATTTAGGGATCAATTTGAAATAGAAAACAAAATTGATTTAGTGGATAGTTGTTATTTATTTTGTTTTATTTGCGTTAATGTCGAATAAGCTCAAAAATTGTTTACTGATTTCAGTATTTGGTTTCACTTTCTACAGGGTTCTGAACTCAAATAGTATGAAACCAGAGTGTGAAACCGACTGATCACATAACTGTGATTCTCATACTGGAAAATGACACATTCAAATGAGTTACAATAATTGTGCAATTCCTAATTTTTAATAATATGAAAATGAATAGACGTTTTAGAAGATACCTGTCGAGCTATTTCCAGTACCAATGGTATGTTCTGGTGTAAATTACAACATAGATTTCACTTATCATATGTTACTCTTTTTCTTTTTTTAAATGATCATATTGTAATCGATAAAGATACACCAGATCGAATTAGCAATGTAATCCTAACTGTTCTTAACAAAATTGGAGTAGAACTATTTCTCTTTTATTGATAAAACGACAAATAAACCAAAAAAATCATAAATGTGAAAAATAAAAATATTTTCAATTTTTTCGCTTTTGCTTCAAATATTCATAAGTCACATAGATATTTTCGTTGCTATGACAAACCAACATGGGAAACGCCCGTCAAGGCGAAATGGATCTCCCGGAGTCGAAGCCGTAAAGCTATGTCAGGATATAGATTTTCACCGATATAACCGCGCAATGATTCTGTTTTAGTTCTGTGCATGTTAGTGTTTGTTTACTTTGTGATAGGCGAACTGGTCAGCCTTTGAAACATTTTATGAAGAGTATTGTATGCTCAAACTATTTGAGATATTATTTATTTATACTGTCATATCTGTCAAAATAATTTATATGATATGTCTGGTCAAACATTAAAATTTGCAATATAATAAACCAATGTTAAAAATATATGTGTCTGTGTTTTTTATACTGTATGCTTCTCAAAGCGGAACGGAAATTGTTTAACTGTTTTAACTGCTGGGCGGTCCATCAGCAGAGATTCCATTTCTCTTGAAAAATAAAACACTGGAACTCTTTACGTCCAGGAGTTAGAAGAATCAACATGTATTCTTAGAATACATGCAAATGAGAAGGAATGTTTCATATTCATGTCTGCCGCTTCTGAGAGTGAGTGAGTGAGTTGGGTTCAACACCAACGAACAGTATTTCAGTTACAGTGCGTGTCATGTTTGTGTTGGAGATGGAAGCGAGGTACAAGTCCAGGGTGTGATGCACTGAAAGGAAACCCATTGTACCTATGGTACTAACAGACCCGAAATCATTATCAAACCGTATTTCGAACCAACACTAATAGGATTCTGGGACATATAAGGCAGGCAACTCTGCACATGGTATTGCTGTGAATTAGTCGGCTTTCGAGCCCCCTTTCGACGTAAAAATAAAATGAATATAAATATCCCCTCTGTTGAGTGTGGAAGTGTTGCTTCGCGTTTAGACACTGAAATGGAATAGATGTATTTTACCAATATTTATTTGTGACGTAATAAATGAACGCTTTAACCACATTGTTACCCAACACTCCATCATGTAGAGAGAGCTTATTGTTATATACAGAATTGAAGTATTTATGTACCTAGACGTGTAATCCTAGACTGAAGACCATACTACTCAAAATATGTTAAGGATCATCCGATTCTTTATTATAACTATTGTTAACCTGTCACATCATGAATCGGTGGACCTTAATCTCTTTTGAGCAGTATATAACACCTATTGCTATACCCGGACAAAAATGGTTCAAACACAGAATTTCTGCCATTTCGATAAACCTTTGTCATTAACCTCATTCAATAATATTTCGTTAGATTGATAAACAATGATCAAAATAGTTTTATCGCAGTATCAACAAAATTAGTTTGTAACATATTATTTTGACCTTTCTGGGATTAATCGTAATGTGAATGAAAGAAGGAACGAATAAAAGGAACGAATACACTTAAAAATATCTTTGACCAAAAATTATACTATCGTTATAAACCAATTTGGCTGTAAATTATTATCGAACCCTTCAAAATTGAGGTCCAAACATAACAACCACGTGTAAAATATAACCATCGAATGATAATTTTTGATTTGGTATATATCATACTTTGTTTTCCACGCCAGTTTACAAAGTTATTACTCCCCGATTTAAAAGCTTTAGTTTTAAAATCATTCATGTAATGAAGCAGCATGCAGAGGGGTGAACATTTTCGGAGGGTTCATACCAATAGTTAAAATAATCCTATATCATTAAAAAATTAAAGACGCCTATGAAATGTAATCCGTTATATGAATATGAATGTGAGCATATTATTTCAGGAATGTTTATTTCAATTTTAATTACATGTTCCCTATCAGTATTACTAAGGAAAGCCATTGATTAGCAAGGTCCCATGTGTATATTCTCACAACGGTTAACGAAATTGTGATGATTTTCATTTCGAACGAGGATGGATACGGAGAGAGGAGTGTTTTCCTTGTGACTCACATTTGGCTAAACCGGGTATTGGATGAGATTAAAGATTAAAAATGACATTTCTTTCGT